AAGTCTTTCAACTGTTACCCGTGCGATTTGATTTCTGTCCATGAACTCTTTGCCTACCCCTATGTCTTCAAGAGTTCTACCTACTTTCTCTTCCAGGAGATTTAGTGTCTCTGCTTTAATGTTTAGATCTTCTAAAGCTTAATCTTAAGCAGTCTGCTGGAGTAAGAATCTCAGAGAAATAGGCATGGTTGATGTAGACCACCGCAGTTGTACTGGCTGTGTACACTGTTGAGTTGCTAAATCTAGCTACATAGGTAATAGATGTGTTCCCACATGTATCATGTTTTCCTGTTCAGAACACTTACAGTACCCTAGTACCACAGGAGTTTTTCAGAATGTAATAGGTAGCTCTTAAATGTAGTTATCATAATGAAGTTTTGGTTCTTTTGAACAATGTCTTTTCAACTCCCTCCATTTCACTTTAATTTATTTCTTTTTTACCGTGGGTTTTTCTCCTTTTCTCTATACTCTTTCACTCCGTCCTTTTCTCAGTGTGTACAAGTGTAGTATTAAATGTTTACATTGATTATGTGGGTTAGCTTTCCTGTTGCTTGGACGAAATGCCTAGCAACACGATGGAAGAGAGGAATGCATGGCTTGTTTGTCTCCAGCTTCAGAGGTCTGAGTCATGCAGAAACATGATGGTGGGTGTGGGGGGCATAGTTGCCCACTTCCTGGAGTTGGGAAGCAGCCAGAAAACCAGGCTGGGGACCTGTCCCCGTGGTTGTGGCCCATGACCAACCTAATACTGGAGTGTGCTTTGCTGTCTGCGAAGCATGCTGCATTCACTGAAGTTGACAGTCGTGATCAGCAATTACTAGGTGTCGAAGCACTTGGAGTAAGAGGTACTGTATCATATTTGTATTTTCTGCTTTTTTTTTTAGTTGTGAATTTTTAAGTTTTCATCTTCTGCCTTTGAGCATTTTACATGATTCTATTTTTACTCCTCCATGACTAGGTGTGCTTGTTTCTTAAAATTGTTTTAGTGATTGCCCCAGTGTTAGAAAAATCTGCTTGCAGTGAGTATAAATCAAGTTTAAACCAACGGTGTAATGTTTCAGGGGCAGTGCCAGTACTGCAGAAATGTTCCAATCACGTTCTCTTCCCATTCCGTATGTACTTGCTGTCGCTGAACTTTTGATGAGGAGCTGTAACCATCTGGTGCATTGTTGATGCCATCAGCTTACACAAATGCTTGTCTGTTAATGAAGACAGGAAGAATGCTTGTCCATTGTATTCTTTTCATCAGAGTTCTTATTTGCTTCTTTCCACCATTCTTGCATGGCAAGTATACTAGAGACACTTTCAGTTTTCTTTCCCTTCTTCAGGCTGCAAGACTACTGCCTCATCTGCTTGTTAGCTGTGTGGGATTTTTAGAAATTGAGACAAGGTTTCACTATGTATCTTTGTGTTGGTTGATTCTGTGTTCTGCTTTCTGAAATCTGCCCTGGAAACCCTACAGTCATGTTCTCCTTTAATCTGTACTTTTCACTTGCATGATTACTGTTTATCTTTGTCAATAATTTCTAATTCTTCATTGATGCTATTCTGTGGATACATACTTTTCCTGTTTTCCCTTTATTTTTTCACTGTGAGTGCCACTTTCCCTTTGAACATAGATAAGAGAATTGCTTAGAAGACTTCATATCATAAGGTTTGTGTCTGAGGTTCCTTGGAAATTGTTTCTCTCAATTCGTTTTTCCAATGGTGAGCCGTATTTCCCTGGTTCTGTGTATTTGTGGTGGGTTGTAATTGTCAAGATAACATTTGAGTAGTCTACTCAGGTAACTTTAGCAATGAGAGTCACTTTCCAATGCTAAGTTGCAAAGATAAGAGCAGTTGAAATTGGGATTTTCAGTTGGTCCTCCAACTAGTCGGGCTTTTGAGAAATAGTTTGCTTGCTTATTGGCCGGCCTGCCTGCTGGCCTGTCTGCCTGCTTTCCTTTTCCTTTTTTCCTCCTTTCCTTTCCTTTCCTTTCCTTTCCTTTCCCTCCCTGTCTCCCTGTCTCCCTGTCACCCTGTCACCCTGTCTCCCTGTCTCCCTGTCTCCCTGTCTCCCTGTCTCCCTGTCTCCCTGTCTCCCTACAGAACATTTGGTAAAAGAATAATTTTTAGAATGCCTTTCTCTCCTCCACTGTCAGAAGCAGCAGATTTTGTCGTATCATCACAATGGAAACATGGTAGGGCTCCTGGAAATAAAACTCACAAATGTGCAGAGCCTGCTAAAATGGGCCTTCCTGGAGGTTTTCTGTCTCCAGGTTTTCTTCTCCCAGCCTTCAGCAGTTCATCAGGGCCACCTCAGGTTTCCCTGCCCTTGTTCTGCTTCTGGGCTTCTGCTGTAGTGATCTGTGCTGCTCTGTCTGCCACTCTGTCTCAGTGTGTTGAAAGTGGATTACACCTTGCCCTTGCTTGTCTGAGTTCAGAAGCATTTTTGTGTTACAATTGTGTTGGGTTTGTTTAGTGCTGTCTTCTGGGGGAAAAGCACTGCCCTCCTCTGTGTCTGTCAACACTGTGTGGAAAAGTAGAAATGTGTGACTCTGTTTCTTGAGTTGGTGACGTTTTGCCCTCAGTGCTTCTTTTCCCTTATGACACACATGGGAAGCCCTGAAGGAGAATAAGATATGCCAGACTTCTAAGGGTGTGAATTCCTGCCGCATCTCTTTCTGTCTGAGTAAACTTGGCTCCTCAGGAGGCCCTCCTGACTCTGGTACGGCCTCCGCAACATAAGCAGTAATTCAGTGTGTGCTCCCAGTCTTTGGTCCTTCCCATCCTCGCATCAGTATCTGTCCTCAGCAGACCACCTCCACAGGGAGCAGCCCCAGTTGGCAGTGTGAGCGGGCTGTGTGGGCACCAGCCAGCTACTGCATCTGCCTACCTCACTCCAGCTTTCTATCCCACCCTTCCTCCCAAAGGCCACCTGCGCACTGTCCCCTGCTTGCTGGGTGTCTGGAGGTCTCTGGCTGTGATATGTGCTGCTCTGTTTATCACTGCCAGATCTTTGAATTACCACTCACACTGCCAGGTTACAAGGAGACAACATACAGTAATGATATTAATATGTTGTTTCCCAATGCAACCTTTAAATTATTTATGATGTTTATTTTCAAAAGAGTATAAAGTTTGTGACTAAAAATTTTATTTATTATAAATATTTCTGACACCCTCATTCAGAGTCAGAGCAGAGCCTTCGTGCCCAGTCGGAGTCATCTGTGGGCTGCCCCATCGTAGGCCACATCTTGATTCTTGACTGCTTTTCTGTCCTCACCACACATGGTATTTCACTTGGCACCGTCCTTTAGCCACAGCCCAACTCTCAGTAAGTGTGCGTGGAAAGAAACCCTGCCACATGCTCCTTCCCCTCTGTGTGCTCTGCACCTGCTGCCTGAAGTAGGCCAGCTGCCATCCTCCTCCATTCAGTGGGCGCAGTGCCAGCTTCCTCAGGCTTACTCTTCGGTGCCATTCCAAACAGTGCTTCTGTCTCAGGTAAAAAGGCAGTGCGTTCTGTAGACATTGGCTGTTATGTATGTTGTTGTCAGGTTCAGAGTATGAGCATTGGCAGTGGCCTGCATCTGCTTGAGCTCCGGGCACGACTGTTTTCTTGCTTCCTGTGGTCCCCAACACTCTTTTCCATACTTGGGTCTTTCCTCCAGAAGGCCATGGATATTGTTTGGTGTATGATGTTTTATCTTGAGTTAGATTTATTTTGATAATTTTTCAGTCTTGTTTTACCTGTTCTGCTTCACATGCTAACCCTTTTATGTTGGATGTAGTACAGGTATTTGTCTTGAACTTTTGTTTTTTTACCTCCTTAGTTTTTATAGATTTAAATATTATGGGTTATTCAAAACTTATTTAATGGTGGCTTCTCAAAGTGTTTGGATTTTATTTTTCCTATTTTAGTATTAGGTGATTTTTGTCCTGCGGTGTAGGATATACAATCATGTTCCAGGCCCGTTCCCATTTGTCCCTGCCTCATGTGTGATTGTGGTTTCTGGCACTGTTTGTTGTACATTTGGCAGAACATTTACCTCACATGTACACAGCCTTGCATTCAAGCCCCAGGACTGCAGAGCAAAACACAAAGAGTGCAGGAACACAAAAAGTGTCCCAAAGAGTATAGTTTCAAATTGTATACATAATTGTATGTAGTTTTATATACTAGACAGAGTTATTTTTCTCCAGGGATTTAAACATTTTTCAACTTTTATTATACTTCATAAATTTGCTAAAGTGTTTACTAGCGAAAGGTATAAAGTTACACATCTTTGTGAGACCTGACACCTTGGTGACACTGACTCTTCCATCCAAGGTCCATCTTCTTCCTGCTTCATTGTCCTTTGACATTCTCCAGTAAAAAACTGTGAGGTTTTCCACTAGAATAGTGAATTATTCCACATGAGTCATAGCATTTGAGATTGTTATGTAGAAGCACAGGCACATGGGTGAAACGTCTCAGTGCAGTCACAGGATGTGCTTGATCTCCTCAGTGACCAGAAGTGATAAGGAGTGAAGCATAGTATCTGTCACACTGCCCACTACAGTCTTAGTTTGGGAGCCTATTGGCTCACTATGATAAATTTATCAGAAAATAGCAAATGTAGGGCCTGCCAAATAGCTCAGTGGATTAAAGTGCCTGCAAGTAGGTGAAGGGGCTGGGAGTTCGATCCCCGGGCCTACCATGCCAGCCTTGTCCCAGGGGCACACTGAGACCGCAATTGAGACTGGGCGTGGTGGTGTGCACCTGTTATCTCAGCTCTTGGGAGGCTGTAAACAGAAGGATCACTATGAGTCCTATCTAGTAGTGAGACTCTGAATACCCTGTAGGCCCTTCCTTAAAATACCAAAATAAATAACTAAAAAATTCACAGGGACAAAGGGAGTTTAATAAGTAGCATGTTGTTGTCATACACCAGGAACCTCAGACACCTCTCCATGGTAAATTCATTGAGGGCCATCCCAATAGCATTTTCACGTAACAGCATTGATCAGATTTTTAACAGCTACAACAAAATCTGACTTTGTTCTCAGCAGTTTCTAATTTTAACAATCTCTGAATTGCCAGTGTTATCCCACTCTTCTATAATAAGCAGTAGAACTCTGTTAAGAGGTGTACTACAGACCCTGTTGACAAAGGGACTTGGAATGTCCCAAGAATTATGTGCTTGGTTGTTTTCTGTTTCTTTTCCAAGTGGTTCTGATCAGGTAGCAGAATTGCTGTATGAGAGAAGATGTACGTGTAAATGGAAAGTGAGAGTGACAAACAGGAATGGAGAGAATTTGGAGAACATGGCACCATAGGAACGTGAGGTGAGGAGACTCTGTATCTCCAGTGCCATGAGTCTCACCCTTTCTCCTTTAATCTACGGGGTGATGTAGGAGTCTGTGACCTTTGAGGATGTGGCTGTGAACTTTACCCTGGAAGAGTGGGCTTTGCTAGATCCTTCACAAAAGAGGCTCTACAGAGATGTGATACAAGAAACCTTCTGGAACCTGGCTGCTATAGGTATGGTGACTTTGCTCCTTTACTTAGTCTACTGGGGACCAAGTGTTTCTTACTGATCAGTGCTGTTCCATGAATCAGAACATGAAAAGGGAACATTTTGGTAAATGGACTATGATAGTAGTAGTATTATACCATTAGCCTAGCTAGAATATCTTTTTCTGTGATTTTGTATAGTCAACATTAGTCATGTGTATTAATAATTGTTTTCCTCACTCTATCTTTTAGGAAATAATTGGGAGGAGCAGAACATTGCAGATGAATATGAAAATTCAAGGAGAAATCTAAGGTAATTTGCACTTACAAAACAAACCAAAATCCCTCAAGAACCATGGAGTGACTGAAAATACTGAAAGCAAGCAAATAAATGATACTGATGAGGCCAGATTGAAAGTTTTGTAAGCTCCAAAATATTTCTCCAAAGTGCATACAGGTTTTCACACATAATTGGAAAATCCAAAACTCAAAGCATCCCAATACTAAAAATATCTGAAGTACCACCAGAATGCCCTCAGTCATACTATCTGGTGCTTCATTATTCATAGACATTGTTCTCATGCTCAGAATTGTACAGAATATTGTCTGAAATTGCCTTCAGTGCTTGGGTATAAGGTGTATAAGAACAAAGTGTACTTTGCACTTAGACCCATTTGAACATATCCCATTATATATACACAAATATGTTGATAATCAAAAATGCATTGGATCCCAAGCCTTTTACATAGAGAATGTCAAGTGCATGTAAATGTGAGATAGGCTTTCAGACTTTGCAAAATAGTTAACTTGGAAATGGTATGGAAACCCAATAGCAGTGCTGGCAGACCATGGTGTTAGCAGCAGGCTAACCACTGTGCCAGCTGTCTGTATTGTTGAAAGCTCTAAATGGTTCCTGCCTCTGCCCTTTATAAATACCTTGCGTTGCTCATAGCTGCCCTTGAGTCATACAGAGTACTCCATTCATTTTCAAAAGTCCTTATCAGCATAAAACCAGCATTTCTCCCAGTAAATCATTAATAAACACATCCTTAGTAACGTGCTTCTCGTTTTTTACAGAAGTCAAGTGGTAGAGAGTTTCTGTGAATATAAAGAAAGTAGTCAATGTGGGGAAATCTTCAGCCCGCTTCCAGATCCTATTGTGAACACGAAAACTTTTCCTGGAGTAAAGCTAGGTGAAAGTCATGTCTGTGGAAATGTCCTTATTGTTCCTTCATTCCTAAATTTGTCCCTCAGGGAGGACACTGAGCAGGAACCATATGTGTATGAGGAATATGGAGAGATGTTGGATAAATTTGAGGAACATGGGAACGCCTTCCGTTTTCCCCAGTGGTTTCACATGTTTGAAAGGACTCCAGCTGGAGAGAAACCCTATGAAAGTGAACCATGTGATAACTTTAGTTGTCTCAATTCTCTTCAAAACCATGAAAAGATTCTCTGTGGAGAGAAACAACATGAATATAAGCAATGTGGGACACTCTTCAGGAGTCACAGTTATGTAGGTAAGCAATGTAGGAACACCTTCACAAGTCTTGGGCACAAGCAGAGACCCACCATAGCTCACACTGGTGATAGACCCTTTAAGTTTCAGGTGCCTGGTAAGGCCTTTGATGGTTCCAGTTCGTTTCTCATATACGAAAGAAATCACACTAGAGAGAAACATTATGAATGTAACCAATGTGGGAAAACTTTCACTTTTTCTAGTTCTTTTCGAAGACATGTACGAACTCACAGTGGAGAGAAACCCTACATATGTAAGCTATGTGACAAGGCCTTCAGTTGTTCCAGGTCTCTTCAAAGACATGAAGAAGCTCACAATGGAAGGAAACGTTATGTTTGTAAGCAATGTGGGAAAACTTTTAGTTCTACTAGTTACATTCGAATACATGAAAAATCTCACACTGGAGAAAAACCTTATGTATGTAAGCAGTGTGGGAAACCCTACCACATTCCCAGATCTCTCAGAAAACATGAAATAACTCATACTGGAGAGAAACCCTTTGTATGTGGGCAATGTGGAAAAGCTTTCCATTGGTCCAATTATCTTCGCGTGCATGAAAGAGTTCACACTGGAGAGAAACCCTATATATGCAAATATTGTGGGAAAGCTTTTAGTTCTTCCAGTTATATAAAAATACATGAAAGAACTCATACTGGAGAGAAGCCCTATGTGTGTAAGCAGTGTGGGAAATCCTACTGTGATTCCCGTTCCTTAAGAAGACATGAAAGAAGTCATACTAGAAAGAAATCTGGCATACGTAAGGTAGGAAGGCCTCCAATCTGTACAGTTCCCTTCACAAATGTGAAAGAACTGGCCCTAGAGAGCAATGTTAAATACAGAAAGGGAGAAGATCTCATTAACACAGGACCTTTCTAGGAACAAGGGAATGCATATAAAGAGAACTGTAAGTATGTAGGGTGTAGGAATGTGGCTAGTCCTTTGGTTCCACACTGATACGAAACTACAAAATGTGAGAGAGATTACTCGAAGAGATGCGGAGAAGTCTTCAAATGATCCCCATGTAAAAACTCACCCTAGGTCAGAATTCCATGAATGTGACAAACCCATATGATCTGCCAGTTGTAAAGAATTCAGAATCCTGTGAAGAGTGCTCATGTATGTAGTAGAATTTTGTAAATGAGAGTAATATAATGAGGCTGATGTAAATTAATTTGTGTATAGTACTCAAAAGACTCACCTGGAGCAAATGTACTGAAAGTTATACATGTATTATGATGAGCAGTAACTCATTCTTATGGAAGATCTCTGGCTATGTATATGTTTTAAGATTATTTTTTGAGACAGGACCTTGCTGTTTGTAAGGCTGGCCTCAATCTGCCTATCACAGCCTCCATAACTGAAATTACAGACATGTTCCATTGTGCCCTTTTTTAAAAATGTAATTGTTCTTGAAAACAAAAAAAAGTGACATAACAAGTTCGTGTAAGCAATATGGTGTAACTTTAATAGGTAATACTACTAGGCTTAAGCTTCATGTCATTTTTTAAAATAATGTAGTTAATTGCCTATTGAAACATGGAGTTTTAAACTGTTGGGTTTTTCCTACTGGCCTGATATGGCTGTTTTTGAACTCTGAGTGTGTATTTTGTGTGTGTGTGTGTGTGTGTGTGTGTGTAACTTTATATTTCATGCATAAGTTGCTTTTGTAGGTGATTTTTACACTTCTTGCTTTTGATGTACTTTTTTTATGTTTCTGTACGTATTTTTTAGTTTATGATTTCATACATCCTATAGAATAGCGTTATCATGTTCATTTACTGAGACAAGAGCTACAAATATCACATTGTAATATATTAGAGAAAGATTATACATTTATAACATTTTTCATTTACTATTGAAAAATATCCCTTGCTTATAACTGTAGGTGTGTCTTTCCCCATGAAAATTTTTACTTTTCATGTGTATAGTCTTATAACTTGTGTTTTGATTTGTAATTTTTTTCACTCATCATACCAAAAAGTGCAGTGTGCTGGTATGACTGATGTCTTGCGTGTACACTGGGTTATGCCTGTTGTTGTGTATGGCGTGAGGTCCTAGCATAATAAATCTGTCCATGCACCATCATCACTGCCTCTGTGGTTTATCAGTAAGCGCAGTCTCCATTTTTGGTGGGATTTGCATGGTTGCTGTTTAGTTCAGTAAGACTTTTCCCAGTAAGATGCACCAGGGTGTGAAAATCAGTTGTCTTTTTTTTTTTTTTTTTGGTGGTACTGGGAATAAAACTCAGGTCCTTATGCTTGCCAGGCAGGCTTTTAGTTCTGTCTTTTAGTTCTTAACTATGATAATTATCATAGTTCTCATCTTGAAGGCCGTAATAATAGAGTAAAGGGAAAGCTAATTTATGAAAAGTACCAGTCAGTCACATTATGGGCCAGAGGGAATTTTACTCATTTGTGTGCTCCATCAACTTTAGATAAACATAGGTAAGATTTCTTAGTATCTTTCTTTATCTCTGTTTTCTTTAAATAACTGAGAAACATTGTCTGATCTTCAGGATATGTGGCGTGACTTTGTGAGACTTGCTTGTGTTGTGTGAGGCCTGCCCTGCCTTTCCTTACCTATTTTAGGCCTTTATGACTTGTTACCTAAGCGAGGAAGTATTCCTAAAGTGTAGTGAGTTCTTAAAAGTATAGATGCTTTCCACCCTGAATGGGGCTACATTTTGATAAACTCATTGTAATGTCAAGACTTAGAGATACAGTGTAGAGCCATCCCACTGGTGCAGTAGGCTTAGGCCACTCAGCTTTGCCCACACTTGGGCAGAATCATCTACTGCAGTGTCTTCTCAGTGATATGTGCTGACTGTAGAATTTTACACTAAGCGTGTGGCAGACCAGAATAGCTCACTGTCCACCTATCCTCATGAGAGGGCATGATCGCAAATTAGGCCTGATGTTGTATGCTAGTAACCACAGGCTTAGGCAGAAGGATTGCTGTGAGTTCAGTGCAAGGCCAGCCTGAACTATAAAGTGTAACCCTGCTTCAACACTCTCCACACAGTCCAGGTGCCGCTGAGCAGTGTATTCAAGGTGAGGTGTCAGTGCATGGAAGGTCGGTGCATGAATGAAGACATCATCACTCATTGTTTCCCATATCCAGTTGCTGGAGTCCTGCATCAGCAGCTGCTCACATGTTAGGGTAGGGAGAAGGGGCACCGCTGGTAGTCTGGCCTGGTGGGTTGGCTGCCATGATTCTGTATATAGAAGTCCATCTTCTTTGTAATGACAAACACTACAGTGCATGTGATTGTGATCTTGAGTTTACACCTGTGACTCTGGAACTTGAGATTTCTCAATTCCTTGGGCTACGAGTGTCTTAGATGAGTCTGGTTGACATCATTTGAGGACTTTCAACTCCCTGTGATACAAGGTGGGATCATCATTTGCTGGGCATCATGTGTCGGTCCCATGCATTTTGAGAAGGGTTATTGTCTTGTGTACAGCTCCGTCCTGTTGTGTTTCTCCGTGAGGGGAATGAGATCTGTACTAATCCACAGTGACTTCCCACTGACACTCCAAAGGAAGTCTTGGGGTGTTACAGTTACTTAACCAAGTAATTACTGAAGTGAACAGCATCTTGAATTATACCCAAATTTAATGGAAAGGGGGCTGTATTTGACATCTCAGGGTGAAATACATTTACTGTTTCTGTATGAAGTAGCAGGGACACTATTTCAGTGGTCCATAAAGCCCCCATCCCAACTGTTCTTTCCACAGGTGTCACTTATGTGTGCTTATAACATGTTGCAGAAGGTGGGGAGAAATAACTGCTTGTGTAATATTAAAAGAAATTTGATTTTCATCCATTTCATTTGTGAGTTATGTTTCATTCTTTTTATATTACATGACTTTAAGTATTGTTCGTAACTCAATGTGATCCTCTTTCATTTTCCTGAATGTTTTCCTCTTACAGAGAGTAAAATAACCTGCAGGAAACACAAACCTTTGAAAAAATCACGTACCTCATAGTGACAAATCTGTTCATGTCAGCTACTAACCTGTCAACATGCATTCTTACCCTGTTGCAAATGTTGACAACCCAAGTATTGTGTTTTTATGCAGTACTTCAAATTTGAGATTAATTTTCTTTTAGTAGCACTTGTATCAATATTACATGACATTAGGTATGAATGTGATACATGGTTTTGTAACAAAAATACTTCAATTTTATTAATATGCAAATTACTTATTTTGAGATGTGCATGTTTTGTGCCTGCTGTTTCTTATAAAGCAAGATCAAAAATGGAAATGAGAAATCCTACTCGGTTAAAGGAACTGAAGTTGAAAGAAGAGACCTACCCAGGGTTCCTGCAGTTCATTTCTTGGCCGTGAGATTAGTACCTGTTCCCTTACAAGCTCACAAACTTTTGTTACGCAGTACTTGCAGTGTGAAGTGTTAATGTAAGTTACCCTTCCTCTCCATGTCCTGCTCTCTGCTCAAGTCCTGTAGTTCTTTTGAATGTCTTACATGGTGTCAAGGGAAGATGATGGGTTAAAAAGTATTACAAGAAGGATACTTGTTAAAAAAAAAGTTTCTAAAATTTTATGAATGCCACAATCAGATGTAAATTCATTCTTGAAATGACTAAGGAACAAGCTGCTCAGATGTAGGAAGGAGAACACCAGGAATTTTTCAAGACTCAGGTGGTAAAGAAGTTTGGATAACGGTGTCCATCGTGGGCCTGTTTTGGGGAGAAGCCTGCACCACGTACAAAACTTCTACAGTGAGGGGACCACATGTGCTTGCTTGCTGCGGACTATCTCTGATGACACCAGCTTTTCCTGTGTAATGTCTCTTGCGGCCTCTGTCTTTTGAATACACTTTCTGTATTTGTAGAAGAAATGTACATGGGTATCATATGTAAGCTGTATTAGTGGAAATAAACTTTAATTAAATTTTGTAGAAAAATTGCATAAAATGCTGCTTCTGGGAAAGACAGTCTTTTAGATGTGTCATGTTATAGGATTTAGCTGTGTTCATTCCTTCAGCGGAATGAGCATCATATTAGATACATATGCCAAAGGCAGCATCTGTCACCACAGAGTTGCTATGTGGATAAAGACTGTGCTTGTTAAGCAGATTTTTTTTTTTCCCACTTTTACTGCTACCAGCTTTGTTTTATTTTTACTGTTTTGGAACAGGGAATCAAACTCAGGAACTCCTGCTTACCAGGAAGGTACCATGCCACTGAGCTATATCCCTGGCCCCTTGATTTTTAAAATTGTAGTCCTTTGTTTTGTGGTGCTCATAAAATCCATTTTAATTTATGCAAACACTCGTCTTTCTCAGTACCCGTTTTCTCTAGCATTCTAAAATAAAGCCTCCCTCATTCATTGATCTTTGCTAGTCAGGAATCCAGTCTTGGCATAGGTAAATTGTGAGCTTGCCTCTTTGCTCTCTGGTTCCTACTAAATTGTGTCCCCCATGAGTTTTGACTTTGAAGCTCTGCTATGCAGTGTGATAGAATTTGCAGGTGAGGCTGTGTGAGGTCCCTGCAGCCAAGTCTTGCTCTCCCTGTTGCTGAGAAACAATAGCCAATATTCCTCAACTCCTGAAGAGGAAAGGTTTACTTTGCTGAAGTTTCAGCAGTTTCATCCACTTCTGAGCTGGGAGGCTCAGAGACGCTATGATGGGAGAGCCTGCCATGGAGGGAAGCTGCTCTTGTGGCCGCCAGGAAGCAGAATGTGAAGGGAGCAGCCAGGGAGGGAGGCAGAATACCTGGTCATATCTGTTGTGACCCACCTTGAGCAGCAGGACCACTGCATGCTTCGTGCACTCAGCCGCTGGCCTCATTGGTGCATGCACACCTGGAACCCGACGCCTTCCAGAGCCCCATCTGGAGTGCAGCGGAATTTTGAGGACTTCCTAGATGTAAACCCTAGTGAGTTACATGAATGCACAAGGGAGGGCCTTACTGCTTTGAGAGAATGTAGCACACAGGCCAGGAAGATGGCTGTTCCTAGAAGCTGTAATAACAACAGCCAGCTGCTTGGCTTTGCAGGCTGCAGAACTGATAAACTGTCTTTCATGAGTGTACCTGCCATCGTATTCTGTATTAAAATTAGCAAAGACATTCTTCCAGCCTAATTTCTCCCACAGTAGCCACACTGTTCTGTGGTTATTGTATATCGGTTTCACAAGGCTGAAAACCCTTTGCTGAGTCATGTACACTAAAGGCTACTTGACTTTTACATTAATCTGATATCATCTAAATGATATGCAAGCCGGGGAAATGGCTTAGTGGCATAAGCACCTGCCTGTCATTTCTTGTTGCTGAGACAAAATACCCTCACCCAAAGTTAAGAGGGAAAAGGTTTAGTTTACACTATAGAGGTTTGAGTCCATAATCAGCTGGCTCCAAGGTAAGGTGGCATGGCAGAGGGACATTACAGACCATAGTTCATGGAGCCCACAAGGTACCAAAAGCAGCATGTTAGGAGGCTTAACATCATCTTTCTTCCCCTCTTATACTCTTTCTACACAACTGGGATTAGAGCAGTGTCAAACCAGTGACTGAACTGATTTAGTAACCAGCTGTAATTCTAGCACTCAGTCCTACTACCACCCATGAATCAGTCACGTACTCGAGGTCTAGGAACCTCTGAAAGAACCCTGCCTGAGGCTTTGAGGGGGTCATCTAGGCACAAACCATAACAGATGCTAACACACAAAGCGTTTATTTACGAGCTTTTAAAAAGTCACACTGCATGGTCTTTTATAGTTCCTGGCAATTCTTACCCCTAAATTTGCCTTCCCAAAGTAGGAGTACAGGTTGTAACTAGGTAACAAATGTAGAGAAATCCAGTCACTGCCATCCTGTTGTGCTTTCGTGGCTCCCAGACATTTCATCTTGGGTTCATAAGGCCCAACAGCCACAGTTCTGCCCATGACCCCCGTCACATTCTGCAGCCCTGCTCCTGACAGGACCACGACTCCCTGCATTTCTGAAACCTATCCCCAGCAAGAGCTACAACTCCTCACTGAACTTTTACCCTCACAAAGTACACATCTCAGAGGAGATCCTAGTAGGTCTCAGTTGATTTGAAAAGCTCTTGCCCCAGGTT